TACAATCAAAAGCATCCTATAATCGTTCCCACCAAACACAAACTTACAGAACTATTAATCTCACATATTCATGAAAGAAATTTGCATAGCGGTTGTCAATTAACGTTATCAAATGTGAGGCTGCAATATTGGCCACTGTCCGGCAATAGAGCAGTAAAAAGAGTTATACAAAGGTGCGTTAAGTGTTTTAAAAACAAGCCTCGGTCAATAAATCAAAAGATGGGTGATTTACCCATCGAACGCGTAACAATAAGTAGACCTTTTCTAAAATCCGGTCTAGATTTTGCTGGCCCATTTATAATTAAAGATGGGACAACAAGGAAGGCAAAATTGGTAAAAGCATATTTGTGTATTTTTGTGTGCTTTGTAACAAAGGCGGTTCATTTGGAACTTGTCAAAGATTTGTCAACAGATGCATTTATGAATGCACTTAAACGATTTATTGCAAGGCGAGGAAAACCCTCAGACATTTTTTCAGATAACGGCACCAACTTTACTGGTGCCAATAACGAACTTAAAGCAATATATAAGTGTCTAGCGTCTAGTGACACGCAGAGTAAAATAATAAAATTTTTACATAACGATCGAATTTCATGGCACTTTAACCCTGCCCAGGCGCCACACATGGGTGGCCTCTGGGAAGCCACGGTTAAAGCAGCAAAAGGTTTTTTGTTTAAAATTTTGGGAAATGCAAAACTGACCTTTGAAGAATTATATACCGTCATAGTACAGGTAGAAGCATGTTTAAACTCCCGTCCTCTAACCCCTTTGTCCAATGACCCTAACGATTATGCTCCCCTTACTCCCGGTCATTTCCTCATCGGAGACTCTTTGATGGCGTTACCTCAACATGACGTCACCAACATTCACGAAAATCGACTGGATCGTTATCAAAGGACCCAACATTGCCTACAACAGTTTTGGCAACGGTGGTCCAAGGAGTACCTGTCGAATCTCCAGGTACGGACAAAATGGAGGTTTGAAAAGGCCGACAATGTCAATGTCGGTGAACTTGTCCTAATCAAGGAGGACAAAACACCACCGCAAAAATGGTCAATGAGCAGGATTATCGAACTTCATCCCGGTCCTGATAATTTAGTTCGCGTAGTGTCTCTCAAGTTACCTAACGGGGCAATAGTGAAACGTGCAATTAATAAAATCTGCCTTTTCCCCAAAAGTGAAGAGGACAATAACAGTGAATGAACTGAATAATTTAAGTAATAGTTTCTATTTTTAGTTTTTTTGTCATACATACTATTATAACTTTAAGTAGGTTATAAGTAATTAGTGTACCGTCAACAATTTGACATATTTAGTGTTGTACACTCTTTGTTTATGTTTACCAGTAATTACGATTAGATATATTTTAGTTGAATCTTTCATATTTTGAAAGGTACACCTTTCAAGGTGGCCGGCTTATGTTAAAGCAAAGTTTCAATTTTTAATTCTTTATAACGTAAATGTATATTTTTAAGTATAATTTAAGCAGGCTTATATTGCCACTCCCACTGTAGAGGCAAGCCAATCATATGTCTAGTAGCGAGGGGTAAAAACTACCCGAACTGTAGGACGACAATCGCAACATTCATTCGAATAGATTCACTCAATTATGCAGCATTGCAACACATGGGCAGTATCGACTACCCAAATTGATCGCCAATGATCTAGTTTTTATTTCACTTGTTTAAATAGTTTTAGTTTAAGTTATGTGTAAATAAATATCTACTTAAAAACCATACACTATTGTGGTTTTAATCAACAATACAACAATACAACAACATCAAACAAACACAAGCATCGTTTTATGGTCCTTCGAGCAACAATTTAACAACAATTACCAAACAATAAACATGTCGTATACGTATGCCAATGTCTGAGTTTGATCCGTAAATTAATGATGAAAGTTACTTCTTTTAAAAATCGAACTGTACTTACCGGATTGTTTGTGGGAAAGAAAATAACTGTCGAGTTCAACAATTGCAGCTTTCGCAAGAAGCGCGCTCTTGGTCCAATTTTAGGGATAAGTTCCTTTACCATTTCATTATTCAACAAAGTTAAATCGCACAATTCCGTAATATCATTTTCTAAAACAATCTAAGTGATTAAGGACAAAACACTAGCAAGAAAGAAATAGTAATTAGTTTGCGAAAATATCCGGATTTCAACTACAAAGTTGCACAGGAATCCAATAAATATAAAAACAATACAATACTTAAGTACTTACGTCCACATATTCAGAGAATCCCCATTCATTGAGTGTTACTTCCAGTTCATTAGACATGATCAATTGCTACACTAACACTGTCAACTAAAAATTTGTACAGCAGGCAATCTTCACACGAATAAATCTCAAATGATTTTGACTCGGATTTTGTATTGAAGAATTTGTGTAATGTCTAACATGTGTTTTTCAGGTACTTTCAGGGCACTTTATTGCCTTTATCCATGATACAAAGATTTATCTACTTAACAAAAATAACCAAGTGGTGGACATATTTGAAGTCTGGTAATCTTCAGGTATATGTTTTGCTGGTAAAAATTGGAGATAATAATTTATTTGTATATTATTAATAAGTTACAACTGGGTTTATTGATTTGTATTTAAGTTTACATTAAAAAAAGTTCAAGTAAAAAAGGCTTTATGGTTTTGGAAGAAATACCTGTAAAAAGAATAATCGGTAGATTCCCAATTGCGGGAAAATCCTTGACGGAATGAATTTCATCTGATGTTCATATTATTAATAATAATAAAAATATATACCTAGTTATTCAGGAGCTACGCGCTATAACTCGTTGTTTGACTCTATTAATCAAATTTGAGCAACTGGTACTTCTGATGGCAAACTCTAATAAATATTTAAAAGACATTTAATTTTTTTAATAATTTTTTAAGATGTTATAAATAAATTATTTTTGAGTATAACATAGCCATGCATATATATGCGTCACGTATTGTTATTATAACAACCAATAAATACATAATTTATAATTATTTCTTCTTGTATTTACCTATTGGGTAATTCCATTTATTAGCCACCAATGAGTGCACCTTATATACTCTAATTTTATTTCTTTTTTAACTGTAAATATACAAGGACCCAAGAAGTAAAAAATACTCACCTTTTCTTTCTCCCCCTATCACCTATTTATACAGGGCTACGCAAAAGTAACTGTGCAGACCTAACTTTTAAAAATTGTACTTCTTTTACTAATAAAGCTATCGGCAATAAACAAACTGTCAATTGTTAAGAAAATATTTCTCTTTTAAACCATATAGGACACATTTAGTTATTGATGCCCTAAATGGTCTTTGGGATTTTTTTTTTAAATACAATTTTTAGGCAAAATTGTCTAATTTTATAAATTCATATATTCTTAAAACAACTTGCCAGCAAAATTTTTTTAATGAAGTTTGTTAGCAAAGATCTTACCCTATATAAAAGCAATTACCTTGTTAGGTAGATATACCTATACTTAATTAAATATAATTCAAAAATATTAAATAATTTGCAACCAAATACAATATATTATATATATACAATACTTGTATTGTATATATATATATACAATACTTGTATTGTATATATATTGTATATATATGTATATTAGGGTGGAGCAAAATTTTTTTCCTTAGCCTGGGGGTGGAATTTGTAGCCTATAAAAAAAGAAAATTTTTGAAAAAAAAAAAATTTTTACTCAACGTCTTGAGGTGGCCCACTGATTTTTTAAATTAAATTTAAATTAAAATTCTTTTGAATAAAAAAAAAAATTTTTGGCTTGTAATCTTCAAATTATATCTAAAAATAAACAAATTTGATCGTGTTCAACTCGAAATTCGCTCTATTGCCTCAGAAAAGCATGTTACTATTTTGGAATTTTTTTAAAAACAACAATAATGACCACAAAATTTTGTTTAAGTTCATAACTGTTAATTAGCAAGAAAGAGGACACTCCGCAGTTTCCGGAACACTTTTGAAATTTTTTTTTTTATTTAAAAGAATTTTAACTTAAATTTAATTTTAAAAATCAGTGGGCCACCTCAAGACGTTGAGTAAGAATTTTTTTTTTATTTCAAAAATTTTCTTTTTTTATAGGCTACAAATTCGACCCCCAGGCTAAGGAAAAAAAATGTTTTTCTTTTTTTTCGTTTGTCGATATCACTTTTAGAAATCCGAAAGCATCGTTGACTATACTGCCGTACTTAGGGAAAAGGCAGTAAAGTGCAAAAAGCTAAATTGGAGAAAAATAAAATTTAAATTTCAGATAATTTATAACTAAATTAATAATATTATTCTTCTACAATTATATATAAATGACTAATAATATTTTACATGGTTTTCTAAGAAGTCATTTGCGTGTGTATTTAAAAAGTAATTAATTGGCGGGCCTAAAATAAATGACGTACTGTCTTTTATTGCTGTAAACCAAAAGGCAGTAACATATGACTTACTGCCTTTTTACTATGTAAAACAAGATTACTGCTTTTTTCCGTTGTTTTTTTTAATTGTCATATTAATTATTTTGTTAAAAAAGCGCAGTAATTCGGAATAAAAAAAATTTTTCGTTTTTAATAAATTTTATTCATTGAAAAATTAACACAACTAGGTAAAACAATTATTATCTTATCACCGTTGAATCACAAAATATAAAATACTGATTGTAATTTTTGCACATATAATTAATTTTTTTTACTATTACAATACGATTAATATTTATATAATAACAATTATATTGTTATTCATGTAACGATGAATACAAATATTTAACAATTATTTAATCTTTTTAAATTTTAGAATTATCAGCTAATGAAAAAAAACAGTATTAAAAATTAAACAGACTATTTTTTAAATTATTTCTTCGTGAATTTAAACATTTTTCGAGAAAAAAAACGGAGGTTTAATCACATGGAAAACTTTTTGAACAAAATGAAAACTAATTAGAACCTCAACAAAATCTATCTAGTAACTAAAAAAATATTACTTTTAATTTAAAAATCATAGTTATTTTTCTGGTAAACTTTGCCAAAAAACTTTATGCTCATCAAGCATCAGAGGACAAATATTTTTTAAAATCGCATCTTTCTTTGCTTTACTTATACCATTTTTCTTTTCACATGGAATCGGATCCGGAATACCTTTTTTGGCAGCTTTAACTTTTAAATAATTATTTAATAATTTAAATTCTCCGTTGTAATCAGTCTTATATTTTAAATCAGTCGTTCCTCTGTTAACTTCTATTTGTACAATATTTGTTAAATATACTTTCTCAGTCTTATCATGATTAAAATTTCTATTTTTTACAGAAGTATGATCAACGAAGTAATAAAAGTCACAAATATCCATAACTTTTACGTTGACTTTATTTCTTGCTCCTTCAACAGCCGAAACGAATCCAGGAAAATCATAAATTTTACCTTTTTTCTTCATTGCTAGTTCAATTTGATGGTGAAATGAGTCTGCTGACATAAATGTATGTCCTGGTTCAAAGTAATTAACTTCAATTACCTTAGCTTTTATCAAAGGAGAATTTATAATATACGGCAGATAGGAGAAAAAAGCCCAATTTTTATTCTGAGCACAGCAATTATCTAACCATAAGATTATTTTTTCATAATCTTTATGTTTAAGAAAAAATTGGTGATAAGTGGAAGTTATCTCTTCTTTACTACGCTCTCGTATTCCTTCGTGCCATATTACAGCGAAAGGTGCAACATTAACTTGATTCTTACCGACAGGAACGAAAGTTTCATTAAATGTTGTAAGTCTGTTTGTAAATATAGCTGACTTAAAACATTCAAGACGGGGTAACATAATTATTTTCTGTAAATCAGCAGACATACAAAGTGTTTTATTATTGTACGACATTTTGGCACAGTCTTGATAGTATTTTCTTGCTTGTTTACTTTTTTCATCATGTATTATCCACTTCTTACACTCGTCACACGTGTTATCAAGTTCTTTTGAGTGATCGGTTAAATGAATTTTGTGAACTTCACAAATCTCACATTCCTCGTGCCCCAATTTAGTGAAGTGAATATTTTCTTCAGATAAAATCTTTCTATATGTCTCATATGAAATATTAAAGTCTGGAAATTCTTCTTTAAAAAAATTGTGCATCAAGGTAATCGTCAAATCATTAGGTAAATATCTCACATTTGGAGCATGTTCACGTCGGTAGTGTGAAATAGTTGGATTAAAGCGTTCAATGTGCTGTAATATTTTTGATCTATCAATTTTATTTGGCGGAGAAGATTTACCGCGTCCATCTGGAGCAGGTTGCAACTGGATGTTATCTTTTAAAGGTAAATCAGTGTGGAGTACATTGAAAATAACTTTGTCATTTTTTGGATGAAAACCAAGAGTTGTAAGAAAAAATGTTTTACATACTAATTCACTTTTTCCTTCTACCGAAAACTTATATATAAATGATAAGTTTCTAGAAGAATCTTCGGATTTTTTATTTACTTCTTTTCTTACGCAAGTATTTAGGATAAATGACTTTTGTTCTATCCAACTTAATGACCAAAATTGTTTGTGTATAGCTTCTCGACAAGTTTGAGAGAATTTTGAGGTACATTTTTTTAAACAAGAATCAGGACAAGGGTCTCTAAGAGAATGTTTTTCAATTTTTCTCTTTTTAGCCAAATCTTCTCTTGTTTCATTTTGATTACGTTTACGTCTTGGGTTATCAGTATTTGTTTCTATGTCATCAGTATCTGTTTCCATTGTTTCGTTATTATTTGTGTGAACTTGAACGTTGTCATCATTTTTAGCACTGTCGTTGGTAATTTCTGATGAATCTGATGACGTCTCTGTTATAATGTCTTCATGTGCCACAGCTTCTAGAACTTCACTCATTAAGCAACCATCGATCTCAATAAACACATCATCAAGATCATTGGAAACTTGAACTTCCCCGTCAAAAATCATTGAATGCTCTTGCGAGTCTTCTAAACATAACGAGGGTAAAATTTGATCTTCTGTAAATGCCTCAAAAGTTTTCCAGCTAATGGTTCGAGTACAACTGCCTACTTTTTCACTCACATTGGATTCTGGTTCAGGAGAATCTACTTCCATTATAGGAAACTTATATGACACTTATCAATCTGTAAAAAAATGTTTTAATTATTATTGGTGTTATTATTATTAAAAAACTATTATCGATAGTATTATTATTATTTTTATTATTATTGGTATAATGGTTATATTTTATTTTAGCCTAGATACGAAACTTTATTTGAATCTTGACAACTGAGTAAAAAAAAAGTAGGGTTAGAAATTTGTAAACATAAAAAAACACCTTGAAACTTACAATACTTTGCGAATTACAACATGTCATAATACTATTAGAATTGTAAAATAAGATTTTTTTAACAAAATTACACTTACTTTCAAAATTATCAACGAGAAAACCCGGAACAAAACTGCACACCGCTCACAACAATATTTGACATTCAAATGTCGATAATTCAACAGAAAAAAGCAGTAAAATGACGATTACTGCTTTTTTTCTTGGTAACTACAGATCATAATATAATCACATGACACTTAATAAAGCGTAAAAAAGCAGTACTAATCTCTCTCAGAAGATAAAAGCAGTATAGTTTGAATTTTACTGCTTTCTTACTTTGAGAAATAGATTTACTGCTTTTATACTCAGGAAATATAATTAATTCAAAATATTTGTCACATTTAAAAAACTACTTTCTTATGGAAATAACGTTATTAATGTAATATTTTACACTGAATAAACGTTAAATCATTAGAAAAACATATTGGCACTGAAATTTCAAAAAAGCAGTAAGTGAACATTACTGCCTTTTCCCTAAGTACGGCAGTATAGTTAATGATATATTGGCGTAAAATAATACGCCAATATAGGACCAACCTTGGATAAACATTGGCAAGACATTAAATTATCATTTTATGCCAATATAGGGCTAAATAAATCCAATATTGGCCCAGATAAAATATTGGGCATAGACGCGCCCCATATAGGACCAATATTTTGTGCTACTGGGGTAGTGTCAGATTCTTTTAATGTAATAAAAAAAAATATGTGTCTCTTATTCCTGTATATTAATTTGCTCGGCAGAAAAAAAAAAATGTAAAACCTGCCGAAACTCCATATAATTTAAATGGGAAATGTATCGTCTTTGTGGCAAGGTTTAATTTGAATATTAAGATCTTATATGAGTTGGTCATAAACTAAAAATTTAGGGGGCGCTGCGAAAAAAAAACTAGTTGCTAAATAACGGGCACCCTAATGTAGAATTTAGTTTACTATTACTATAAATTGTTTATAATCTTTAAGACCCACCCTGTATATATATATCATATATATCATTTTTGTATTTTGCGAATAATAATTGAGGAGCATCCGTACAAAACCGGCTAAATCCATTTTATTCAGTTTTTGTTGTTTTTTTTGATTTCGCATCTTTGGGTTCATTTCTATCGACAACCAAGGTAATTCTGTTTAAATCCGACTATATCCATATTAAAATCACATTTAAAAGGTTTAGGCTTTAGGAGCAAAACCGGCCAAATCCACGTTTTTATAGCAAACCCGTCTATATCCAATAAATAATAATATGTGGCTTGGATGTGTCGATACTACTACTAAAATTTGTTCTGTTTTTTCATGTTTGTACTAAATTTATTTTGGTAATATTTTTGAATAATAAAGGTTTTTTTTCACATTTTATTTGTTTTTTATTCGGTTTTCGAGCAAAACCGGCTATATACAAAACATTTCTTGAAATTTTGGCCTTAATATAAAGTTTTTGAAAACGAAAGTATGTCTTATAAATCAAATACCACAAAGCCCACAAAACTCATGTTTGCTTTTTCTTTTATCTGTAAAGGCCAGGAAACCGAGAGTTTTTGCCATTTTCCCAACATTTTGGATATAGCCGGTTTTGCACGGATGCTCCTCAATTAATTGTTACCTAATTGTTTAAGGTTTAAGTATATAATACAACAATTTAAGAAATTTGGGATTGTCCCAGTGAAATTCAACCATCAACCATTCAACCAAAATTTCTTTTGGATTATGAAAATTTGTCTATAATAGTTATTTATGTCATTAGGTTAAGAAGTAAGGCTTTTTGTGCCAAGCTCAAAGTTTGAAGGCCGACGCGTAGCGGAGGCCTACAATTGAGCGAAGCACAAAAAGACACTTCTTGGCCGAATGGCATACAACATTTTATCTTCAAAGCACTTTATATAGGTCAATTTAATTCAACATGAAAGCGGCCTAACCTCTAACCTTTTTTAGAATCTCATTTATTTATTAGCTAAAGATTTCATTAAATGTACAATAATTATTATTCCTTTTAGAAGCAGTAATAGTTTGACAATACCTAGCTTCATGATTTAAGTAGAAATGGATTTTTGTAAGAAAATGGTTTACTTACCCTCTTGCTATTACATTGAATTCAATTAATTGTTTAATTAATAGGTATCTAATTTCAATTTGTTTGCATTTTTATTTAAAAAAATAGGTATTTTGGAATGTTTACGCTGTGTTTAACATTTAATTTCACTGAAAACAAATCAAATTAAAACTTAAAGATAATTTAAATCGTAGAAAAAGAAAACACAACTGTGAAATCCACAGAAACGTCAAATTGCAATGTCCTAACCTCACTTTTTGTTTTATTATTCATATTTAATTTTACAATAATTTAATGAAAAATAATAAACATTAACAGTAAAACAAACAAATTAGTGCTTATTATAAATAAATTAAACCAGTTTAGTACGTTAATTTCTTAGAAAAGGATTAATTTGTCAAAACAATAACCCCAGCGAGAAAAAATCAAACTAATTACTTGCCTCATAAAAATTTTTATCGGCCTAGGCCATAACAAGTTATTTCTTTATCGAATGTTGACAACAATAAAGTTTAATTTATAATTAAAGACCGCGTGGAGATAAAATATATTTTTGTTACTCAACTAATTAACATTATAACTTACCTAAACCAAATAAATCTTTTTTGTTAACACACTTTTACAAGATATAACTAACTGCACTTTATATCAGCCCCACATGGCCATCTTAATCGCTTTGGAATTTTGTTTTTCAAAATATTAGGTAATATTTTAGGGATTTTTATTTTATTTTAGTAAAGCTCCTTAGTTATAAAACGGAGTGGGTCAATTTTAAAATATTAGGTAATATTTTAAGTATTGAGTATTTAGAATTTATCGAAAGTATACTTTTGCAGTATTTTATTCGTTACTTTTGCTTAGAGGTTATTTATATTATGTCATACTAGACAGAAGCAAATACAGGGAGTTTTTTGTCAGGAACTAATATAACCATAGATTAAATCTAAGAAAAACTAAACAAATATTAACAATAATGATTGATATTTTTTAAAACCTTCTTTAAAAACAACACACAGATCACAATACTCAGAGAGTACTACTCACTAAATAAATACATATCAATATTTAACAGAAATGCTATGACAAAATATAATTTTGAATTTTAACCATAACTGTCAATCATTGTCTATGGTGTGATCAGATCAGATGTCAACAGATAACAATCAATTAACTAATAAATTGTTGTGCACATCCTGTTATTAAACGCATGCGTTAAAGTTAAAATCCTAAAATGCATTTTTTGTATAAAATGAAACTTTAATTCCTAACCAATCTATATAGACTAGAAACATTGTAATCAGGGTTATTATTGTTTTTAAATTTAAAAACTTAATGTTTACGATCTCATATCTTTTTAAAAAATAAACGTAGATTTTTTTACAATTTTTTAGTCTTTCTGGGGATTGTTTTTACAATTTTCTAGGATTCCTGGGGGTCTGTAGATCTTCCACCTTTAAAGTGGTGCGCGACTTCTGAGACGCCCTGTATACATTTGGAGAGGGTTAAATAAAAAACAAATTAGTTTCTAAATAAAGACATTATATTAACAATTACACGAATACAATAGAAAAAAAATATGTAACAAATATTGGAAACAATAAGTAACTGTTCAAGTTCTTTCATATAAATGATTTTAATCGCTGAGATTTTGAAGATACACTTTTTTAACCAATTTTCAAGTTTAAAACGCGCTATTTTTACAATCGCAATCGTAATAAGTGAAGTGCTACCTTACAAATACATTTTTAAATCCTAAATATAATGTATGCTTTTGTTAATGGTTACTTTTTAAATGTTTTTTAAAATTATTTATTATTGTTGATGTATAAGTACAATATTTGCAAGAATATATTTTGGAAGTGATGATACTTTTATTGTTTTCGTTCAATAAATCTGAATGTTTTTTTAAAATGTGGTTGTCTAAATTAGCTTTTATGTTACATTGATAATGACAGAAAAAACATTTCAAGTGTTTATTTTTAGTATGAGTTTTAATATGCCTTGTTAAAGAACCTTTTTGATTAGCTCTAAATTGGCAAATTTGACACTTATACCATTGGACATTTTTCAATTTCAAACAAACTTTAATATGATTATCATAAGATGATTTTTTAGCAGTGATATAGGAACAATTAGTGCACTCATGGATTTTACTTGATATTTTTATTTTATTTTCTCCTTCATTTTCTATTTTATGTTTAGAATGTGCGAATTTAAAGTCTGTAATTCGGCAGCCATATATGGACAGAAATGGCATTTTAATTTATTTTTTTTAACGTGAATTTTTAAATGCCTTTTAAAATGACATTTTCTTACAGTTACGTAATCACATTTGTTGCATTTAAATTGTTCCGTTTTGCCTTTTAAGTGGAAATTCTTTATATGACGTAATAAAGACCACTTTCTTTGAAATTTCTTAAGACAAAAGTCACATTTAAATAACTTTTCCTTGCCACCTATATCACTACATTGAACCACATGATATTCCACCTCGATTTTCGTCTCAAACATGGCTTCATCCTCATCTTTATCTTCATTGCATGCCGAATTTTTATCATCTTCTTCAGAAAAGTCACCGTCCCTTCCTTCTTCCTTAATATTGCAATATAAATCTTTACTTTCACCTCCAACATCAGAATTGTCACTTTCTTCAGCACTATCGTTGATTTTAGATCTAAA